TCCCAGTGCCTTGGGAGGCTAAGGCAGGAGGACTGCTTGAGGCCAGGAGCTCAAGACCAGGCTGGGCAATATCAAGACCCCATCTCTGGAGAGTGGAAAAAAAAAAGCCAGGCATGGTGGTGCATGCCTGTAGTCCCAGCTACTCAGGAGGCTGAAAGAGGAGGATTGTTTGAGCTCAGGAGTTTGAGGTTGCAGTGAGCTATGATGATGCCACTGCACTCTAGTCTGGGCAGGAGTGAGTGGGATGCTGTCTCAAAAAAGTTTAATCACTTGAACTGGGGAGGAAAAAAAGATCATCTGCATATAACTGATAGGACTTTAGTTTTAGTGAAACTAAAACATTAAAGACTTACCCAAGAAAAGATTTTTGGCTTCAGGCACAATTTAAGATTCTTTAAATTAGAATCTTAAACAACAAAAGATTACGCTGATTTTAATTATCTTCTCCCACAACCTAAGTCCTAAATTCTGGTATCACAAAATTTTCTTTGGATGATGTATTTAAGAATAATATCCAAGTTCCCAGTTTTTTTTCTTGTCAACACAATGGAGATATCTCAAATATTTTCACATGCAGGTAACCAAGGAAAAGAAACTCAAGACTCACTTCTTTTAAAAGCTTTTGGGCTACACTAATCTAATCTTAGGTTCTTTCTTGGCCTAAAATGTTCTAAATTTCAAAAGACTACTTGATAGCTATGTACACATATTCCCTGAAATGTATTAATACGTTTAATTTTAATTAGTATCATGCAACTATATTAATGGATTAAACCTGAAGAGGAAACAACTGCTTTATAAATGTTAATTTCCAAAATTACAAGTCTTAATTTTTTGAAGAATAGGAAGCCTTTTAATAGGACGTACATTCATACACACTCATGCAATCTATCCTTACATCAATGTTTTATATTCACAACTTCACCATTAATTTCCTTTTTGTAGTACCTCTCCATTCTCTAACAGCTGAATCTAGAATCAACTGTTTAAAATTTATCAACAGGAGTTAAGTTAAAATGAAGGGAAAATAGGTTTTTACTACACTATACAAAGTAAGCAAATACTGGGTTTAAAGAATAAGTGATGTTAAACAAGAGTGTACTAATGTGTAAGCTAACAGAAAAAAACCTCAAACAAAAAAAAAACAAACAAGAAAAAAACCCACAAGATCCACCTGGACCCAAAATGGGGGAGGGGGAGAAAGTAAGCTCATTTCCTTTCATTAAAAATCAGAGTGCAACAACTATAGTTAAACAACTTTATTAACATAGTCAAGCAGTGATTAACATTCACATCTATTATGTCACATCATACAAATGTAAATACAAAATTACTACAGTACAATATATATTCTCTGCATGATCCAAAATATTTGGTGGCCCCAAAAAACTCTCTTTAAAATTCAGCAGCTTATCAAAAATTAAAACCGTATTCTATTTAAAATGAAGATCTGTTAGCACAGAGTTAGACTTCAAGAAATATCAATTTAGTACAGTTTGAGAAGTTGCAGGAGGATATGTTTGAAGGACACATTCTAACATAGTGTGGCAGGTACAGGAAACATCAGATTTAAAGCTTTTAAGCGTAACTCATACAACCTAAGTTGTCAGCAGAAAGATCCAGTTATTTATAACTAAAGCTAACACTACTAAATTATTGCACCCAATGTTAACATGTGTAAAACTGTTTTATAACATGAAGTGAAGTCATTTACCACATTTAAACATCTCTTCTCACAAGATGATAATCTATTAAGTAAAATTAATTACACAGTATTGTCTAATTATTATCTCCGTAAAAATCACCGAAGCTCAATTTGGTTATATATCCACGAAGAAAAACAACAAAGTATTATGAGGAAAGTACAGCGGAACCTCTTTATGAGGCTGATATGAGAAGGGGACCAACATTGCCTTATAGGCTAACCATGTTATATAGTAGGCTTTTAGAAAGATACAAGACTTATAAAATATCTAATCCTATTATAATACCAAGCCACAGTATAGGGGATTCTATAGTGGATAAACAAAAACTGTAATAAAAGGAAGACTACTACTGGTTTTCTAATTAGTGACATACTGCTTGGCAAAAAGATTTGGCTTGGTTTTAAAATATACGAGAGGTAAAAAAAAAAAAACTCTCAAAATCATGCATACATTCAACTATTACGCATCTTTTTTTAAAAAACAATACATTCTGGGATACGAACCACAATAAACAACTGCTGTAATTTAAATGTATACCTTAAAAATTTATATGTATAATAATTAGGAATAAATCTACACATAAGTAATGCCAATGGGGGAAAGATCTATGTAAGACTGAAAAAATTAGTCACAAGTCACCTGAAAAGTGTACAGGTGAATAAAACTAACTTTTATGTAAAAATTTTAAAGAGGCGTTAGAAGTATCTCCATATTTAATTTAATACAGTATGAAATGCACTAAGTCGGTATACGATGCTATCTTGCATGGTATTATTACCAGATAATATTGTTAACAACACAGCTCATTATTGATCTGATTTTTGATCTAAATTATCCCAGGCCCGTAACTATCTGAAGACCACAGTTTTCTTAAAGGTTCCAAGGCCTACACTTCATTAACAGTACTAGTAGCAACAGTTAGTGTTTTCCCCTTTTGTATTATTTGCAAAAATAATTCAATAAGCAAAGCTGTGTGTGTTTTAAAGTACTACCAAAGGAAGGATTTAAACTGCAGTTATGCATGATACACTCCTCTCTTGGGAAGAATGTTTTTGCACCATTATCTGTTAATACATTCAATATGAATAATATAGATTAACTATATGAAGCAAAAAACCACTTTTTCCTGCCTTTTCATGGCAAAGGGCTTAAATTTAGACTAAACGTTTACAACATAATTAGTTTAATTCTGGCATTTCTGCTATGCAGGATTTTATATAGGGGAGTAATTTTCCACTTTCCTATTTTGAGGGTTTACAGAAAATGAGGACCAAATTTAACTCACTTTCAGGTATACCTGCACATAAAAGTCTAGTGAGGCTGGCTGTATACCACCCCCGTCTGCTACAATGATAGGAAAAATGAGAAAGGGAAGAGTCTCAATGAAATACATTAAAAAACAAAGAATCTAAGTATGATGACCCTTTATAAGCATATGTCACCAAAGCAAAAACGATATAGGAGTATTCACCTGAGATAAAACTTGTATCTGAATACTTTATAACTGAGTAGACAAAGCATTTCAAGAGGAAAGTCAGTTGAAATTAGTTTAAAATATACATCTCATCCTATTTTACAATATATGCAATTTAAGCAATTCAGATGAAAAAATTTTAACCAAAAGAAATCACAGTGTTCATCAATACGTTAATTACAAAATGTATGCTACTTGTTTTGTTTTAAAGATGTAATGGCTTCGTTAAGTGTTCTAAAATATATTCTTCTGAAATCTAACTTGCGTAACAAAATCAAGTAGCAATAATGTAAAGCATCAGAACTGGCTCTTAAAGATTATTTACATGTTGATTATTTGGGAAATAATCAACCAAAAATATTTAAAAAGTGATTTTTTTTTTACACAGTATGAAGTCATTAGAGAGATTAGACAATACAAAAAGCAAAATTCATTCTTGAATAAATGATACTTGTGGCACAAAGCTTCCTTGCTAATGGACTGTAACATGGAACTGCCAAACATGCATTTAAATTAAATATACTTTCTGTTTCCAACTTAGGTTGATCAGCAGCTTTTATTCTGTTAGAATCCTTCAAAGAGAGAAGCTCAAACAGGAAAAAGAAGGCATATATAAAACAGTAAACACTGACCTCCTGAGGTTCCTACAACATAAAAATATTCAAGTAGAAAATCTACATCACTTAGCAGCGGCTATTTCTGTAGTTGAGCACACTAACAGCATTTTAGTGTGTAAGGAGCAGATGAAGTAAGCCGTGCTTTAAGCATGCCAAGAGGCAGAAACACTGGAATGTAACAAAGACAAACTCACAATTTCATAGACATTCAGTCAACATTCAAAACTATTACGACTACACCACAAAAATTAAGTTGCTTTATATATATATATATATATCCCATGATGTATTAGGTTTTATCAGGTTAAATGCTAAATCAGAGCTTACCTCAAAAGATAACTTAAATGGCTTCTGCAAATTCCTGTGCTACACTATGTATCTGAAATATAAATTAGGAAGAAACAATAACCTCAAGGGGGGGGAATACAACAAAAAAAAAAAACAACCCAATTTCAGGGTGCCAGTCATATTTACTTAATTTTATTTTCTATTTTAAAATTAAATCTCCTTTAAATTTAAAAACACATCCTTATAGTGTTATTCATCTGCCTAATTAGAAACTAATTTTTAATCACACAGTTGACAATATTGGTTTTAGTCAATATAAAATTGTCAATAACAGGTCCATATAACTTTACTAAAGGTTGTTTGTATTTGTTTTACTGTCTTTAGAGAAAAATTTGGCCATTTCTTTCAATTTAAAATATTACCTATTCCAGAATATTAAAATATCTGTCTTATTAAATTCTAAAAAGTATTTGAAGCACTACAGGATATCACTGTAATTTAAGAATAAAATAGCTACCTTACTCAGTTATCAAAGACTAAACAGGAACCAAATTTTGAGCTTCCATTGAAGCAATGGTACTAGAAAGCAAAATGCCACATATTCTTTAAATCCAACTTACAATTTTTAAAAAATTGGGCATTATAAAATAATTTAATTTCAGGCTCTACAGACTGAAATTTGCAAAGCCAAAGTAGAGGAAAGAAGGTAAAGAAACATGTTAAAACACATACACACACACACACACACACACACACACACACACAATAACAAAAACCTTTCTGCATGCTACCATGCATTTGAAATTTTTTGAAACAGTACTTATAAATTCACACCCACACAGCTCAAACTTCAGTGCAATGGCTGTATCATTCAACACTTTTAGAGAACAGAACCATGCAAAGAGGAGCAACTGCTTATAAAAATGGTTATTCAGTATTTATTCTGCAATGCAAAGGTGACAAACTAAAATATAAAAAGGCTGTTATGGCTTAACATTTTTGTTGCAGATTAAATATGCAGCATTGAAAAATGGAAAGGCGTGGCTTCATCTCTGACCAGCAGAGTTAAAAAGAAAAATCTCTCCATTTTCCTTCATCATCATGGGATACACTGTTCAGGCAATCCAAATTAATAAAGACTTGCACTTTCATATGGACACAAGATCAAGTGTACCAGTTAGGTTTCACATTCACAGTATATAAGAAAATACACATGGAAGGAAAAGTAAAGGGTTAACTTAACAAGGATTTATTCACAGGAATACATGTAAGTAGAGAAAAATAACAGAAAAGCTAAACAAATGAAATGAAGAGGATCCAAACCAACTTTCACTCTGTAGCTTTCAACTTGCACCCTATGTGCATATATCTAGGGCACAGAGGGCCACCAACATGCGCCAATACAGTGTAGGAACCCTGCATTACATCCATTAACTTAAACATATCTTTAAGATCATGCTTTGAACAAAAAAAAAAAAAAAAAAGAAAAAAAAAAAAGAAAGCTTTAGAAGGCAATATGTTGAGTGGGAATAAACATTGAAATATAGCAATCATTTTTCAACTTCTACAATTGTCTTTATGTGTCAACTAACATTTATGCTGCCTTTTTTACAGATCTTTTACCATGTAATTTAAATTTTAGAGGTTTTGATAAAATCACTAGTAGTATATAACCATGCAGAAAGCACATCACACTGACAGCACAGAGGCAAAGATTTTGCACAGGTATATCAGCTTTCCACATTGTGCAGGTTACACACAATACAATATCAATCTTATTCCTAACAGATCCTAAAAAAGATATTTCAAGGCCTAGCTGTAAACTACAGTACTTTATATATCTATATTCTTAATAAAAATAAAATCCACAAATCTTAAAAAGGAATTTTAAATGCAGGGCTATATTGAATTGGTAAACTGCAACACAAACTGGCGCAACATAGGTAAATGAATACCAACCTCACTCTATGTGATACAAGCATGCTACTTTCCCACTAATTTAAATTACTTTCGATCACTATGAGCCAGAATATGCATGCCTGAACCTTAAACTGCACTTTAAAAATAACATCTTGGCCTAGAAATTAAATCTAATGAAGTACAACCATCAAATTATATCCACTACATTAATGTTTAATGTAAAATTAAGATGTCATCTTTAATTTGATACGCCCAACCCCATTTATTCTTCCCTCCCTGCCCACCCCACAAAGGTAAAAGGAGTGACTCATTTGGCATTTCACAGGGTGCTTCATTAAATTTGTTCTGTTTTATTTCCAACTTTTTTGGGGGTACCTTAAATTGTAACTTTCAAGAACCCGCTTCTCTACTATGGGAAGGCAAGCTGATTTTAACTCTGTTAGTTTTGTTTGTGTAGTTCTTCATCAGCATGCAAAACAAGGCCCCATCACGTGGGAAAATTTATATAAAAATCTTTAAATTAAAAAAAAAAAGCTTCTTTACTGTTTGTACCCCCCTCAGGTTTCCTTTATTGTGCACTAAGGAATTTTTCCTCTTTCTTATCCCTATGCATCATTTATATGGTTCTTGTTTTGGTACAATTCCCCATAATATTCCAGAATGTACTGTTTTGTGAGCAGACTGAACAGATTGTTTTTTTTGCTTCTTCACATCCAGTGCGGAGTTGTAATTGGAGACAGATTTCCACCCACAAAAGCTCCAGATGTTAAAACATTTCCCAACATCGACTTAATACAGTGACGGCAACACCTCCCTCCCGCCCCTCCCAGTAGGGTTGGGATTGTACTGTATTCCCTACTGGTTTACCCTTCCCCCCTGTAAAGGGTAACATTTTCCCTGGGTGCAGAGGCTCCCTCATAGTCTCCAAGACCGAAGGACCTGTAAGAAAAAGAACAAAAGAAGCAATTTTCTCTTTAGCAACTGTCTGTCTTTCAAAACTGGTGGAACACAAAATTAATCAAATAATAATGCTATTTTATCTATAAAGAAAATGAGAAATCGGACAAATTGCCTAAGATCATGCTCGTCAATTATAACCATGTTTCTTCCTTCTCCTATGGCTCTGAACTGTCACCTACATCAGATATGAGAAGTGAGCCCAACCTGGGAACACACAGAAAAGCATGCTGCACTTTGTATAGATGAAATGTGCCTTGCATGGTGCTTGCTGTCAGTTTAATTTTTTACCCCTTTTGCAAAATGGGACCCAATAAAAACTGATTATTTCTTACATAACAAGTTGACTTACTTTCTTCAAAATTAAATAGCACTTTGTTTAGGATGAGCACTGTCCTTAGTAAGAATTAAAATATCATCCTTTTCCCTAGTATTCCCAATACTAAGCAAACAAATCTAATCTACCAAAAAATAAAGAATTAATTATTTTTGGTTGTCTGATGTTGTAGCCTAGGAGGCACTAGAAGTGTTTATTACCACAGTAGGGTTATTACATTCAGTAAATAACAAAAAGTAAAACTTAAGACATGCCTTCTCAATGTTCCTAATTAGTTATTCTGGCCCTATTTCGTTTGGTCATTTCCATATCTGAGGTCACCTGATTTTCCTGATAAGAACATTTTTTTAATGCTAACAGTTTTAATGATAAAAAGGACATTAATAAATAAGGTAAGATTAGTGGGAGATTTAAACTATTACCTGATAGTGGTCCTTTTACAACAAAACTCTACTACCCATTCATGTCAAACTTTGGACATTTATGAATGTTGATGTGAACTCACAGAGAATGATTAGTTCATCTGTGGAGAAGTACAAGCAATCCCTTATTCTCCTGCCTCTGAAACAAGGAAGAGTAGTACAAAAAAGGCAGGAATAAGGGGTATGGATCCATATAATGTCTAATTAGAAAACTGAGAATTTATTTTGTATCTTATCTTAAAACAGTTCATAACTGGTGATGAGAAGAGAGGTAGTAAGTCTCAGAGTGCTACTAGTAGCTCACTATTGAATCTCTGAAGTTAAAAGTCATTCTCATCTACTGTATTCTCACAATTTAACATCAACTGAACCTTGGATGGTGAAATCTTCCCAGGTTTAAAATCTAGCTCAGAGTAAATAAGCAAGCAAAAACTCTAATTCAATGTAAAGTATAATTCAATTTGGTGTACACCTTTTGTATACACATTCAGCACGTCCTCTGACTTCCAGTCAAATATGACTCAATTCACGTTCAAAACCTAAAGAAGAATGTCAAAACCTTGGTTTACTGTACTTTCCATGTTCCTAACATTTACTGAGCCAACTTAGTGTGCGCCAGGCAATATATAAAAGTTCTGGCATCACACGTAGTATAGTATTCTCTTTTTTCTTTTCTTGTTTTTTGAGATGGAGTTTCGCTAAGCGGCCCAGGCTGATCTCAAACTTCTCTGGCTCAAGTGATCCTCCCTCTTCAGCCTCCCAAGTAGTTAGGATTATAGCTGCGCGTCACCATGTCTGGCTCACATACAGTATGTATTTAATTGTCAACATAACTCAATGAGGAAACTGAAGCTAAGAGATCAGAACTGTTAGTACCATTTAAGTAAAGAAAACCTTAAGGAGCCAGAGTCCAAATGGGCATACACTCTAAATCAAAACAGAATCTTCCATTAACTGTTTTTAAACACAGTGCTGAGCTCAATAAAACATGGTGAAAAATACTGAGTCAAAATCCAGCTTCAATTCTACTTGTGTTTTTCTTATGGCTCATGATATAGAAAGTCCTTATATCAGAGACTATAAATTCATGCTTCAAAGTGGAGCCATTCATTTTATTTTGGCTTGTTGGTTCTTTAAAAAAAGTTCTCTAGCCCTCACCTAGGTAATTTTAAATTTAAACTTCAACACAGCATAATAATGAGACTAGGTTTTATTCAACCCCTATAGAAAACAAATAGCTTTTTATTCTATTCAGCAGTTTGAGATTACAGTCCTAACCAAATTTTCTTCATCTGGAAATTTTCAAACTTCTTATAACTTACCCCTAATTTTGGGACTGCAGCTTAAGTGTATTAGATTAAACACCATAAAAAGCTGCAAGACGCTCTTTTAAAGGAAGAGGAAACTGGTCAGAGAAACGCCTCCAATTTTCATCCCCAACTTGATTTTTAAATCCATGAAGGATCTGCAAAGAGTGAAAAACCATTAATTTATTAACAATGAAAGAGAAGACCTCAGATCTGCACAGCTTCTGAAGTCCAACACTATTGATTTTATTATTTCAAAATTGTATCCATTTTAAAGTAGTTATTCTCAACCTTTGTTGGATTATACACCATTCCATGACTCTCCTAAAAGTACTTCATAACATATGCTTCAGGATTCAGCAAGCGTCCTAGTAACAGATGTACTCTAAGCAATCTCTGATATCATACCAATGAAAAACAAAGTACAGAATTCATCCAAGGAATAAAGTTTTTGTCATATTATGTTAAACTGGAAATACAAAAGCTTGGGTTCCTGGCTTCAACTGTAGTTAGCTAATTTTAATATGAGATAATTCAAATGTGTAATTGTATCTTATTTTTTACTCTGTTACAGCTGAGTGCTGACTGGAGTTAACCAAAAGCGGGTACTAACAAAGCAAAGAACTGTATAGGCTTAATCCCTGTGGAAGCCACTTAGATTTACACTCTCCTCAATGGTTTCAGATTATAGTTCAATCCAAATCTCAGTTATCCACCTTGAAAAACATATGCTATTTTCCATGAGTGAAACAATGGGATCGCATGAATTAGTGGCACTGTTGGGAAAATATTTTCAAAGTGCATGCTCTATTGGTAGAGTCACTGCTTTATCTTAAGAACAAGTCAACTTTGTCAAAAAGAAAAAAGGCTATATATATAATCTTCAATACTGATTTGAAGAGCCTAAGTTTCACATGAAATGTAAAAATAATTTAAACTTTTCAACTACAACTTTAATAGTCCCAGGATGATATATCATAAAGATTTATTAGTTACCTTACAGAACATGTCTCTGAGATCATCTTTTGGGTTAATCCATGATGCAACTGCATCACAAAAAAATATAAAATCCTGTAACAAGCAAGAAATACATCTTAGATTGATAATGTTTGTCAAACTCAGCAAAAGATATATTGTAAACGTCAGAATTTGTGCCACAATAGAATCCCAACTAAAAAAGGGAAAACATTTAAAAATCAATCATGATATAAGGAATTTGAAGTGATTACTTTTTTTTTTTTTGAGACAGAGTCTCACTCTCTTGCCTGGGTTAGAGTGCCGTAGCGTCAGCGTAGCTCATAGCAACCTCAAACTCTTGGGCTCAAGGATCCTCCTGCCTCAGCCTCCTGGGTAGCTGGGACTACAGGCATGCGCCACCATGCCTGGCTAATTTTTTCCATATATTTTTAGTTGTCCAGCTAATTTTTTTTCTATTTTTAGTAGAGACGGGGTCTCGCTCTTGCTCAGGCTGGTCTGGAACTCCTGACCTCAAGCAATCCTCCCGCCTCGGCCTCCCAGGAGTGCTAGGATTACAGGCGTGAGCCACCGCACCCGGCCTTGAAGTGATTACTTAATGGTCGTCCCTATTAGTCCACCATTAAAGAACCTCTGAGTCATTAAGTTTATACTGGAATTTAATGCTCTGTTGTATTTTATCTCACATATCAAAACGGACATCCAGTAAATGTTTACCATCAGAAATGGACTGAAATCACGAAAATCAACACCAATAAAAAGACCTCTTCATTTATTGGATTAAGAAAAATATAAATTCAAAAATCTTACTGTTCTGACTGGCCTAGAAATAACTTAAAGCTAGTTAAATATATATCAAATAAGCTTGATTTGAAATATAGAAATTAATAGAACTAAATTTCAAGACTCATCTTCAGATAGAAACTTAAGTGAAACACCCAAAAGTCAGAAGAAAAACTAATTATGCAATTACAAACACCCAACCCAAACGAGAACAAAGAACCCAACCCTCAATTACTTAAGATAATCAGGTTATCCGGACAAGAATAAGGTGACAATATGCTTTACATATTCCATAAAAATATTTTCTCAATCTTGACTACTATATTGAAACACTGACAGTTCAACATGCAACATTCAACATACTACTGATGTTCTGACATATCAACTATTCTAAATTTTACTATTAAATTCAGAGAACTTCGCTAATTTCAAAACATTTACTAATATTAAAGTATGTGGATAAAACACTTATTTAAGCTTACTCTCCCGATCTATTACTATTTTATTTCATGTCAAAAAAGATTTAGGAAATAAAAAAGGCATTATCATTTTAAGATATTAAGAAATACACATTTTAAATGTTTAATTAGTTTTTTAATACTTTTGAAAGAATAAAAGTTTTTTATAATTAAGTCTTAAGATATTTCATCCTTTAAAATTTTATTATTCAGAACATTAAAAGTTCAACAAATCCTTGTGAACATCTTACTTGGATTACGCCACTGGGATTCACACTGATCATGGTACAAATCCCACGGAATGCGGAATCCTTTTCCTCATTGTCTCTTATGTTTCTCAGAGAGGTGCACCTATTGAATTATAGAATTTAGTTTAGCATTTAAGAAAGAAGCAGGTTCAATTACAATACTAATGGACAGTATTTAATGGAATAAGCACCACAATATAGATAATGGTTATATTAAAAGAGTTTTCAGAAAGCTTAAGTTTCAGTTTCTCATACTTCCTGTATGTTGGGCCCTTTTAATCTCAATATAGTAGAAATGGTGAAATTCATTTTCTTTATAAACTGCATCTATAAAACGGACCATCTGATTTGACTCTCCCATTTAACTATTAAGCCTGAGCCAAGAAGAGTAAGTTACCAAATTAACTTTTAAAATTGTATGATTATGACTTGTATTCCATTAAACACTACTAAAAATGATGTCAATTGAAAGCAGCAGAACATAGGATATACTGCCACAATATAAACTATTACTATACGACTTATGGTATAGATGTTTAACTTCTACATTAACAAGCAAATAAGATTTTTATACATAACAAATTTAAACATGTATTTCTTAATGCAATCCAAGTTTCCAAATTAATTCTAAAAAAGAAACATAATGCAAAAATCTAAATTTATAGAATTTGCATGCATTTTAATTTTTCTGGTGGATATTTAAATGCTTTTTATGTATAATCAAGCTTTTTAACACAGCAAGCATGTGACAATCTTATCCCATGCATCAATTAGTCGTTAGCCACAACATAAAATAAATATACATGACGATGCTATTGAAAAACCTCACAAACCTGATAGGACAAGATTAGTCACATGGTTGGCAATGATTAAGGATTGTGATTTTTGTAACCAACTGAAAATATATCTAAAAGTGAGATAGAAAGAAAGAGTGAAGAAAAATGAATTAAAAAAAAAGATTGAATAATACACACCAGGGTCTTATAAACTGCTGTAGCATGGGGGCCACCTCTTGAGGACAAACGTAACCAAGACGACCAATTGTTATTGCTAAGGTAACGCAATCACGGTTATACACCACCAAACGCCAACCAAGACATGAGCAAATGAGGGGGAAGGAGAAAAAATAAAGAAAAAACAACAAATAACTCAGAAACAGAAACCAACAGAATTTGTGTATGATAATAAACATAAGATTTCACCAGTGCTGTTTATTACCACCCCCTAAATAAGGGGCAGCAACATATATGGCATACTCTTGGAAAAAGAAAAACAAAAGGAATTAAAAAAACTCTAAAGATTGAGAGAACACCAAAAACCATGATAAACTGCTTTTCTTGATCAATAAAGTGTCAAGATATCATCTGTTAATAAGATGAGCAATTAAATGGATGGATTTAGAGCATCTTCATTCAAAAGCCAGTCAAAATTTTTGGAATTTAATAATGAAATCTATGTTTTTTCCCCCAAGAAATATAAATAAATGTGAATACATTTCCGAATTGTCTACTCAAACGCATTTCTCTCTATAACTAAAAGAGTTAAAATTTCTTATTTCCTTACATCTTTTTTTCTAAGATTTCAAAGATTTCCAGTCTTTGGAAATTAGAGAATTTAATCCAAATTTTGGTAGTGTTTTTTTTTTGGGGGGGGGGGGGGGGGGGGCCTGGTGGTTAACATTTCCCAAACAAATCAGTGGACATTTGTTGCTTGATTATCAAAATCAGCTGTCAGATTTTAAGTGGCTTGTTACCCACTGAATGAATTGGAAAATTGCTATGCTATGAAGTCAAATCACATTACAAAAAACCTCTGATGATAACTCCGATTAACAGTCCACTAACTTCAGACTATACTTGACATAAAATTCTAACAAAGGAAATTTAGATAGTCCACTGCAGTGACATGTGATATGTGGACCATAGGAAAAAACAAATATTCTGGCTTTGCTATAAAAGGCATAGCACGAAATAGATAATATAACACATTATACTGATTACATACTAATTTTATTTTTTAAAGTTTTGAAGTGGGCACACGCATTCACCATCAAAATTCATGAAGTCCTGAAGTTTACAAAGAGCTAAAACGAGTGCAACTCAGAATTGCATTCTGCAATTCAAAGGTACATACATATAAATACATTTATACACAACGGGAAAAAATACAAACAGAAAACAAACCATGAGGTGCTTTAATGGTGTTCTCTCAAAAACTTACAGGTTAACCTTTCATAAAAAAAGGGTGGGGGGTAAAGAAAAATGTTTAAGGATTACTTGAAGCAAACTACACAAATACTAAAATCCAGCAGATTCATATGAAGCAAGAGAAAGAAAACCTAAGTTCAAAAGACACAAACTATGCAACATTCTCATTAAACAGGCAAGTATGAACAATCCAATGAAACATGCGATAAAGCAGATGATGGTCCATTGAAAAAGTTCAGTGTAGGATATACTAATCGGAAAAAAGGGAAATAACAGCATACTAAAGAATTGGCTTTATGAAATACTGATAATTACAAGTTGCTATAATGTAGACATTAGCTATAGATAACGATTTTATTAATTTACAAAAATCCATTCTTTTGGGCAAGAAAGAAAATAATACTTTATGCAGACACTTGTGATAACAGTAATCTAATGAATCCCAAGTGTGTTTCTCAATGATATTAGTTCATTCCATCAACTTGTAGGGCATTACCAACCATTTTATTATTTATTTAGGATATAATCATATATAGAATACAATCATAAATAAAGCCAATTTGTTAAAAAGAACTATATCATCAGATGATATCCCACAAGAAACTTTAATATACATTACATTCAACATTTATCTGCAGTTATGCATTCACATTTAAAAATAAATAGGAGTTTTTTTTAGGTTCAACAATAATTTTATAATGGCAAGTCTTTCAAATCTGAATGTCATGTATAGGTACTGCATTGTGAAGAGATAAAAACCTGACAAGATTTCATAACCATCCTATACATTGGTTTTTGTACTTTTCAGCAAGAAAATCTAATTCACTTTGTGAAATAAACAGTACCCATACAGCCAAACAGCCAGATAATTGTTTCATGAAAGATTTCCTTCCATACCAATAAACTTTATCAATTTTAATCATGTAAGATAAGCTTCCTATAATTTAAAAATACCAAATTAAAATGCCTTTGAAAAGGAACTTTCTTAGTGGGAAAACCTTATTTTAATCTTTGTCTAGTATTTTGTTAATACCCTCATTTACTATGAATAAATGACTGGAATTATCTTAGTATATAAAGAAAGGGATATGCCTGAATGCAAACAAAATTTAATTCTTTCACCATCATTAGCAACAATCAGGGAGTGGAAAGAAAAGAACCCAATCACCTCCAAATGTGTTCTATAGTATGGAAGGTATTCTTTAATATAAACATGCTCTCTATAAATGCAAAAGAGAAACAAGCCTAATTAAAAATTCCACAAGGTACTGCTTAAAGTTCCCAATTTGAAGAAAATATATGATGAAATACAAAATACATATACCATTGTTAATCAATTAGCTACTAAATTGCAATCTATTTTTGACCACATTTTTAAAGATTAAAAAAAATCGTAATTTCCCAGCTCCCCGGTTACTCTCTGAGTTAATTTAAAAGCAAAATTCATATAGTTCAATAGTTCTCTTAGCTGGGATCCATTTTAGGAAGCATTACAACACTGAAATAGGGGAGAAAAGTGTTTTTCCAAAGTTACTGAAAACTGGTTACGGAATGTAGCTAAAACAGTACATTTCATTACTGAGAATCCAAAATAGCTGCTAGATAAATAATAAGCTGGGTTTTAAAAGCTAACTTTGCTTTGGTTTCTCTACGCATCTTAACTTAAAATTAAAAGGCAATTAATTTTCTCTTCACTGAAACAGTTCAGTCATATGGTACCTGTATTCTCTAACAACGTCTTTGGTGTGTTGGGTCTGTTAATGATTTCTACAAGCTGGTGCAACACCATAGGAATATAAGGCTGCATCTCTATACCTAGATCATCCCAAAAAGAAAAAAACAAAAAAGAAAAAATTGCATGTTAAAGTATCAACGTAAAATATTTTGCTTCCCTTAATAACTGTGACATGTCATATATAGACAAAAATCATTTACATAAAAAAGCAATTAAGAAAATATCAAGGCACCTGAAAACACACACTTTTAAAGGCAAAAAAAAAAAATCTTACCCATTTGAATGGAGATTTCTCCAATTGCCCATGTGGCATTGTTGCAGACTGAAATGAACTCTGGATTTAGGTTGGTTCCCAATATTGGCATGAAATCAGCTAGAAAAAGAAATTTTTAAACTATGTAACTTCTCAACAGCAGCGTATTGCACTTTAAAGGAAATCTACTAGGTAGAAACTGAAATCCTGGTAAGAAATACCAAGTTTTACCATTAAAAAAATCATTGCAATATCAATTATAAAATTGGTGAAAAGGTGGGCAACTATATTTAAAAATATTTTTTAAAGGGGTTAGTAACATTTATCTTAAGAAACTGAAGGAGAGACTATCTGGCCATTGAACTTTCATATGATGTAGAGAAGAAAAGTTCCAGTATATTTTATGTATCACTCAAAAGAGCTGGTAAGAATAATCTTCTCATCAGATTAAGGAAATTCAAATTTAAAGTAGAAAAACATGATAAAATGGAATTTTCTTCAAAGCTACTTTCTCACACATAAAATTTTTTTTTCTTAAATAAATGATTTTGGCTTTTAAAGCAACTTTCACCCTAGTGCTCAGACTGTTCTCTAAATATCATTTTCCACTAAAAGGAATGAGAAGACTCTCAGAAAATGCCTCATTACAAACTAAGGCAGGAAATGTGCAAATAAACCTGGACTGTACTGTCATAACAGAAAAGACTCAGGAGCCACCTTAAATTCCCATTTCCAGCAGTACAACCTGAGCATCAAGAGCTCACGCTGCCAGTCAAAAAAACAAAAAAAACTAAACTGAAACAAATTGGTAAATAAAAGGAAAGCATCAAGAAATTATCTTGCCTCTCCTATATGATTTATACCTCAGGGTTACAATTTATTAATATGAAAATGTCTCTTTATATAAATATTCTATTAAATGAAGAATCAAAGTATCATAATTTTTAATCCCTAATAAATCAGATCTAAGCCAGGGTTTCTCAATCTTAGCAATACTGACAGTTTGGGCCAAATCATTCTTTGTTGCAGGGAAGAGGAGCTGTCCCCTGCATTGTAAAATGTTTAGCAACATCTTTTGCCTCTGTCCGCTAGGTAACAGTAGCACCTCCCCAGTGTTAAAATGTCTCCAGACTATGGGCAAATGTTCACTGGAGGGCAAAATTGCCCTCAGTTGAGAACCACTAATCTAGGTAACAATCATCATGGTTGATAACACAAAAAATAAGAGACAACTAGATGCCATGTACCTCCTTAAAAGTACACACCACTTTTAAGGTCTTAAGAACCTGAATCTCATTAAACTTCAGTCTCTGTATCAAACTGCCAACTTACAGTAAATAGAAAGGACAAAGGAACATGTTAAATGACACTAGAGAGATGCAATCAGTAAAATCCAGAGTGTAGGAAATGCTTTAGGACAAAAAACCTGGTTTAACTACAAAATATAATTGAAAGGAAGAGGTATGTATTAAGCACTCAAATTATATGTCCGAAATTTGCTCCAAAATATCTGGGGTCTGTCTGAGTGTCTGATCATGGATAATGTTATGTAGGAAACATGATTTGATATGTATAGATAATAATAGAAGCTGGGTGATGGAGGGCTCATTACACTTTTTTCCTACTTTTTTACATCTTAAAAACTTTTTTATAATAAGTAAAAAATATTAAATCCTTTCATAGAAGTTTAAATTCAAAATAAATTAAGTGGTAAACATTTGTATGACAAGATTCCCAAAAGAATTCCACTTTTAGAGTAGTTAGGCTTAAAAACTTGATGGTTTCTAATACATAATTAATACTATTACTCAGAAATAATTATTATTCAAAAGCACAACTGTGTCAACACATTGAGATATAGAAAGGAATGGGATAAAACTAAAATCATCTAACCCCTGGGTCTGAGAGCAATTTAGGTTACAACATTCAAGGAATCCCATATTATCTTTACAAAGGGCCAAAACAAATGCTACGCTATTAAAACAGAAACTTATTATTTACTCTTAAAGTGACATTTGTTGGACATTGTCTATGATATCTAAAAAGGTATGCTGGTTTACTAAAGAAGAAAACCTTATCATTACTATTTCTGAGTACCTCTACCAAAAAAGGAGGTTACTCAAAACCAAAAAAGTATCTATGAAGTAGCATACAGCATACTAAGCCTTCACTGCTGGGCATGTCCTTTACTCTAGTAGTACTACTATTCTAACTTTCCTACAGACACAGGAGTGCCTAAAAAAGCTGCTGAAGTGATGGTGAGTTTGATGAAACAACAGGCCTTCCCCTCATCTCGCCTGCTTCACAGCTACTTTACTTTAAAATGTTCATTTATAAATGTTGGAAGTCCATGCAATTTCAGTTTAATAATAAAAAACAAAGCTGATGTAAAGATAACTTTTACGAACCACATGCATATCGCTTCTTGGCTTTTTGTCTAAGATCAAGTGTAAAAACCACATTCATAGCAGGAGAAAACATTCATACCTATACAAGGCTTAACATGCTGAAAGCAAGCTTTCGTCAGGTCACCTAACAGGGCAAAAGAACTCTGTCGAACTTCTGGCATTTTATCCTACAAGAAATAAGAAAAAATTAACCCCAATGTGACACGGGGAACCAGGTTTGAATTCATTTTAATCTTACAAGTCTCACCTGCATGCACTGATACATTAGTGTTAGGATGTTACTTCGGGCTACCAGTTGTTCAATGTTGCCTCCAAGTCCTTCGGCCAGGCCACTCAGTAAATCAAGAGCCACTATCATAAAATCTTTATCTGGAGCCTCGTACTGATCAGGTTGAGCATTGTTCAGCTGAAATTAGACACAATGTTTTAATCAACTACTGAAAAAGTTTGTATGTATTATGACTATCTTTTTAAAAAGAAAAATGTTTAAAACGAGGGAAAGATATTAAAAAAAAAAAAAATACCATGGCTTGGGCAAGAGTCTTCTGTACTAGGTTTACACAACGCTGATACACAGGTTCACAGTATGGAAGAAACCCAGACTGCAGGGCTGTGGCAACCGAAGATAGGCACTGGAAAGAATAAAGTACATGTGCTAAATTTTCTGGGTATACGTTAAGATTATGATATGATAAATGCCTGAAACTGTACTCAATAGGATCCTGGTCATTTATGAACCTGCTTTACTAGCCTACAGTAGCAGGTTTTTCTTTTTCAAACCTCGCCTCTGGAAGTCACTCATCGTTGTCAATCAAGTGAGGGTTTCTCAGAAAAAGTTTCTGTAATAAATACTATTCTTGAAAGACAGACTGGGTTGTAAGTGTTCATATTTTTTTCTTCAAATTTAAGAGAGATATTTACTCATGCTCCCATCATGGTCAATGATGTAGATGGATCAATATTCTTGGGCACATTTTGAGCCACAGCCTGAAAGTAATATATAGAGTAATATACAGAGTTGGCCCTCTGTATCTGCAGGTTATGCATCCATGGGTTCAACCAACCTTGGATCAAAAATATTGAAAACACAGCCTGGGCAAGAGAGTAAGACCTTGTCTGTACAAAATACAGAAAAATTAGCCAGGTGTGCTGGCATGTGCCTACAGTCGCAGCTACTCAAGAGGAGGAAGACTGCTTGAACCAAGGAGTTTGAGGTTGCAGTGAGCTACAATGACACCACTGCACTCTAGCCTGGGAAACAGAGTGAGACCCTGTCTCAAAAAATAAATAAAAATTAAAAATACAGTATAACAACTATTTACATAGCATTTACATTGTATTAGGTATGATAAATAATCTAGAGATGATTTAAGGTATACTGGGAGGATGTGTGTAGATTACATGCAAATACTATGCCATTTTATATGGGACTCAAGCATCTTCGGACTTTGGTATCCACAGGGATTCCTGGAAACCAATCGCCCAAGGATACTGAGGGACGACTGATTGTATATAAAAAAAAAAATGAGCCATACTGATGCTCCTTGTTTGGTCTGGCCTAGAATTAGTCATTGCTCTTTGTCACAGAAGACTTAACTTCTTTGACTAAGAGCAATCCATGGCAGAAGTTGGTAACCCTTGAAATAATGGGAAACAAAGAATGAAAATGACTAAATTGACCATCAGTGTCAATTCAACTAGGTTTAAGTTACCACATTTTATAGTATGTTCAGTTACCTGAACATATAAAATTTGTTTTTAGTTAAAAAAGTAAATATACAAGGAAAAAAACATCAAATTAGATAGAAAAGATATAAAGTTCTCTCTTACTGGCAGCAAGTCCCAATACTACTTCACATGTGTGAGTACATCGTTTGTATATATAAAATAGATAACATGAAATTTAAACTATAATTTATCAATTAAGTAGAGTAAGTTAGAGAACACGTATAATCCTTTGTCTATTTATTATAAAGGTATACTATGTTCATTATGCTTTTTCTATTTAACTGTATTTCTTAGTATAGAGGTATCATAACTAAAATAACAAGTTATATATTTATTGGGCATTTGAACAGAAACTATTCCGAATATAAATTTATTAACACTTTTCTTATCACATGCCCATTTTGGATTCGAACATGTGTTTTTGGTGAAATGCACAGTTAGATTGCCTAAATAATCAGCCCAGCATACCTCAAGCAAAGGGAAGAGATCTTTATCTTCATCCTTTAACATATTCCATTTCTGGATCAGTGGAGGCATTAGCATCTGAATATATTCCTATTTACAATAATGAAAAATATATAAAGTTCTATTATCATATATAAACAAGTACTCATTTTTTGCTCTAGTGCATTTTAAAATTTTCCTTTCTTTTGCCTTTTTTTATTTACATGAACTTGTTCTATTTTCTTAAATTCTTTTTATCTTTTTGGAAACAAAATGTATATAAACACATCACTACATAAAAATGTACTACTTGATTGTTAAGGCACAATCAAGAAAGATCTGTGTAAGTTTTACTCTCCAGTGACAGAATTCTTTTAGTCCTGGAGTCTGTAACATATAACGTGGCTGTTGTTATGTACATTATAAACTGACAAAGTTAGAGGCACATGTAGAGAGAGAGACTCACAATCATTTAAGTGTCCTTATTTAAACTGAACAATGATCCATAACACCAGTAAGTGTAGTAGCCATGTAAACTAGGGGCACAGATTCTAAAGGTATTCAGAAAACATAACCCTCCCCCAACAAAACCAAACCAAAAAGCAACACCAAAACAAACCTACAAACTGATTGTCTTGCACCAAATTTTAAGTATAACTTAAAAACTAAAAACTATTTTTTTAAGATTTTTAATATAGCAACCACATATATCAAATCTTTCTATTCTTCAGCAGGGAATTGAGTTATATTAAAATTCTAATATCACTTAAATCCTCTTTAAATCCATCCTCCTCTTCTACTCTCAACACTACTAGTGACAAGGTACTTCTCTCCCACTAGTTAGCATTTTTAACCTATTATTTCAATTTCCAATTATTTTATATAGTATACTCCACATACTTGTATGTTCTAGTGAGAAAACACAGACGTCTAGATGTCATATTCTAAAGCTACAGTGGCAGATACAAGAACACTTGAAATGAAGTAAAAGTAGAAATCCACGGTATAAAATTTTTACCCCCTTTCCTTTAGTCATTCTAAACAGTACTGGGGTATTCATGTGAGATGCTGCTGTAATTTCCACACCAAGCATATACTTATTTTTAAAATACTATATGAAAGGGATATACTTGCTGCCTTTGTAAGAGCTACATTCTTACAGTAGCAAACACTAATTGTTCACATCTCCCAAAACATTTTTATTTCCAACTATATCAACCTGATTATAAATATGCTGTATGTTATTCTCCATAACAGTCAATCACAGAGACTTACTGGTTTGTTTAAATGATGTCCTACTGAATCTGCTAATGTTCCTATGGCATCGTAGAGAATGAGCAGGTTCTTATGTTGGTATTTACTAAACGCGAAGACCAGGGTATCAAGTATATAAGCAAGGTAAGGAACAAGTTCTGTACAGGCCTCCTCTTCTAGGGTAGCAAAGGCACTATAATTTAAATAAATGAATCAATGAATGAATGAATAAAATACTTATTGGTATGTAAAAGGAATAGTTTATATAGAGATGAGAAACTAAGCCAATTGTTTATAGAATATTTATTTACAATTTACACGCCTATCGCCTTGCTTCATCACACTAGATTCTTATTATTTCCTCCCTTTTTCTCATCATTTCTTCCTTTCCAAGAGGTATCGTCCATGCGCATCTGCTTAACTACAATGGTAAAATCTAAAATTAAAATGTGCTGGCTGGGCATAATGGCTCATGCCTGTAATCCCCGCACTTTGGGAGACTGAGGTGGGAGGATTGTCTGAGGCCCGGAGTTTGAGACCAGCCTGGTCAACATAGCAAGACTCCCATCTCTACAAGAAATACAAAAATTAGCCAGGCCATGGTGGCTGGCACTGTAGCCCAGCTACAGGTGGGACTACAGGTGCTGAGGCAGGGGGATCGCTTGAGCCCAGGAGTTTGAGGTTGCAGTGAGCTATGATGATGCCATTGCACTCTAGGATAGATGACAGAATGAAACCCTGTCTCAAATAAACGAACACAAAGACAGGCCAGGCATAGTGGCTCAAGCCTGTAATACCAGTGCTTTGGGTGGCTGAGGAGGGAGGATAACTTGAGGCCAGGAGTTTGAGACCGGCCTGGGCAATACAGCAAGACTTTGTCTCTATAAAAAGTTAGGAAAAAAAAAAAAAAATTAACCAGACACAGTAGTACATGCCTGTAGTCCCAGCTACTCGGGAGGTTGAGGTAGGAGGATCACTTGAGCCCAGGAGTTGGAAGTCAAAGTGAGCTATGACTGTGCCACTGCACTCCAGGCCTGGGCAACAGACCAAGACCCTATCTCAAAACAAATTAAAAAAAAGAGAGAGAGAGAAAGAGCCTCAAACCCAACCAACAGAACAGCTGTTACTGAAGCAGATCTACTAAGCAGTGGAGAGCCACAGTTGAGAAGTGACAGATCACAGGTCATTGTGGGACTTTCCATGAAGTTATGGTAGTTGACAAGCAGTTTAAACTTTGTTATTCCTTCATGAGTAGGACAACACCACTTCAGATGTCTGATTTTTACTAATAAGGGTAAAATATGATCCTGTTATAATATCATAGACATTGAGTAGGGAAAAAAATGAGTTGAGGAAGAAACAGCAAAGACTGATGTCTTGTTAGTCACATTTAGAATTATAACATCATCAGGTCAAAGCTGCAAATAACAAATTTTTCCCAGCCAAACAAAATATATAAAATACGCTAATGTGCAAACCCCAAAACTACAGATCAGTCTTGCAAAAACTTTACCAAGGAAAATGAAACTTTCTGACATGGTTGAAAAATTTTCCATTAAGAAATACTCGATTAATGGTTGAATACCAATATTCCATCATAAGGCTGAAAATTGGTTTCTCATTGAATTACCTACTCCCACAATGAACACTGTGTTATGAATCTGTCCCACCTGCAGGCAGCCTCTTGTACTCTCTTGTTGCTATCCAGGATGCGCTTTAGCAGTTCCGTCATTAATGGCTTCAGGTACGTGTCCGGTGGCTGGCTGACTACCCAGTGTGCATAGCGGCTAAGAGTCCAGCACGTTATGGAACGCACAAGAGCCTTTTTATCAGAGAGGCACTGAATAAGGTGAGGAATGAGCTCAGGCAGGTATGGAATCATGCCTTGCATGCAGCCTAGAAAAATACAAGAGACATCTTTCGAAGTGCTAAAATTTGACTAAAATTGTTTCAGTTGAATACTAAAATGATACATTTATCATGAAAAATATTCAGAATATTTCCACTACTATAAAATATACTATAATAATATATACCAAAATTACATTAAAAACCTGAAATTAGAGCCAACTATTCTAAATACCTTCGGGTTAGGACCTCATTTTATGTCTGCTACACATACTATGACTTTCAGAAATGCCTGTAAAGTGTTTCAGTTTTTTGCAGATAGACGTCAATAGCCTTTACAGAGAACGATGACACTCTTGCCTTACCAAGTTTCCTATACTTACCTAGGGAATAAAGTTATTTTTCTAGCAATGGGGATGCTTCAGACATCAGAGTTCTCTTGTTCTGTTCCCATTATAGTAGTAAAAACATTTGCAGAACATCTGGCTCAAGTTTAGAAGTCAGAATGACTGTTTAACAATAGTAAACTGGTTCAAAGTAGAAACTTATCCTAAGATCGTTTTTGTATTCAATTATCCCTTTTAAAGTTAATATGCATCATAGTCTTCTCTACACCACACTCATCATGTATGTGAATTCAAGAGTGAAGTCTTTGCTTTATAGAGTAACAGTTCTTTAAAGCAACCTAGCCTTATTAGCACCAATGAACTTTACAATTCAAATTGGACTTAAACTTACCTTCAGCAATTGCTCCTAATACCAAGATGCCTGATTCTTTAACAACCCATTCATGATGAAAAAGTAATTCTTTCAAAAGGGGCAAAATATGCGGCAGTAGCTCATCACGATACACATTTGCGAGAACATCTAGGGCAGCAGCAGAACATTTTCCTAAGGAAATATTTAATTCAAAAATATTATATTAACCTCTATTATCACTTAATTATATTAAAAATGAGTATTTATTGTATGTATAACACCTTATTCATACTTCTATAGTTTCACAGAATTCAATTAAATAGGAGGTAGTCTTCACATGAAAATTTTTTCTATGAAAACACTTTTTTATGACAAAGAATTAGTAAATTACAAAGACATTCTACTCTATACATGATTGGCATACCTGAATTCTTTTATCTATACAGAAAATTAAAACATATACTATTCCATTCAATTCAATGCTTCCAATATGATGCTTACTGTTACAATCCTGACACAAAACATACATTATTAATTCTACATAACATTTCTAGTGGTAGATCGTTTAGAATCAAATGTGTAATTACACAGCTGAAAGTAAGGCATGTAAATTATTAACAGAACAAAAGTCACTAGCACATGAAGCATGAAATATGCCAGAAAACATTCTTTACAATGAATTAACTATGGGACTAAATATCAATTCAGATTAATATAATTTAGACAAGAACAACAAAAATGAAAAGAACAAAAATATAATTTTAACTGCTATGGGTTGGAATGTGTCCCCCAAAATTCAGGCATTGGAAACTTAATCCCTAATGCAACAATGCTGAGGTGGGGCCTAATATGAGGTGATTAGGCCACGAGGGCTCTGCACTCATGAATGGATTAATGTCCTAATTCAGGAATGAGTTATTTATCAAGGGAGTTGGCTTGATGTAAAAAGCAAGTTTAGCTCTCTCTTGCGTGTTCTTTTGCCCTTCCACCATGGGATAATGTGGACAGTCCTCACCAGATGCATCTCCTCGATCTTGAACTTCCCAGCCTCTAGAACTGAGAGCCAAATAAACTTCTGTTCATTGGAAATTACCCAGTCTCAGGTATTCAGTTACAGCATCACAAAAATGACTTAAGTACCAAAATTTTTCCAATGTGAACTAGGCATAAAAAATAGTTAATAACAAACTACTGGACAATGTTAAAATACTTAAAAAAAAAAAAAAAAACATAAATCCCCCAAAACTGTTACACTGGCCAGAGTTAACACCTTACCCATCAACAAGGATCTTAGTTATACCACACAGTTGGATCCACACAACTGAATAGTATGCTGACATGCAACAGGGGGAAATCTGTATGTACTTACGCACAGTGAGGCATATGACATACAAAACAAAACACAAAACCCAGCAGAGTACATATAATCTAATTTCACTTTCGGAAATAGCTTCTCCTCCAAAAAAGACCTGTATGTGTTTTTCTACACGTGCACAGAAAAGCTTCTGGTAGGATATAAAGATGAGTGGGATGTAAAGAGAAAGTGTTCCCCCCTCATGTATATTATTACTTTTAGAGTTATCTATAGTATAATCTTGATTCATCCTACCCTCCCCACCAACCTGAAAGTAGAAATATATTGGGAGGTAATCTGTGATAGTAGTGAAGACCCTGAGTTGTCTTGTTAAATGAAACTTAGGTTCCAAAACTGGATGTGCTATATTAGTATTAGCTATGCTAACCTTGGGCAAGTTTCTCTTTTTGCAGTTTCCGTTCCTGAAGTTATTAGAAAGATAATCAAATGAATTACACAGTCCAGGCTGATGATACATGCCTTCAATCACTTTATCACAGTTATTAGAAATCTCAATGCTTTGAACTACAGTAGTGGTTCTAACCTAGGGATGATTTTGTTCTCCATGGGACATTTGGCAACGTCTAGAGACACTGCTGCTTGTCACAATTTTGTGTGTGCTGCTGGCATCTTTGGGTAGAGGTTAGGGATGCTGTTCAGCACCCTACAATGTGCAAGATAGCCTCCACAACAAAGAATCATGTGGCCCCAGATGCCAATAGTGCCAAGGTTGAGAAACCCTGAACTAGAGCAGTGGTGATTTAAAAACCAACAAGCAAAAATCGAAACACAGGTGCATGGGTTCTTCTACAATTAAGAGTGTGGGCCAGACTGCCACCTCCACTGGTGATGATGTAGATTTGCAGCTGAGGTTGAAAATTAGCATATTTTCAAAAAGCATACATTTTTAAAGTTTCAAATATGACAAAGCAATTTATATTATTGTAGAATTATGTATGATAACTAGCCAATTTTCATGGCTATTATCACTAAAACACACTTGTAGGATAACAGGAAAAGCTTGTGGCAATGTTCTTACTTTACAGTATCAAAATATACAGTCTTTTGAGAAATGGTAGTTTCAGGTAAGAAGTCTTTTTAAGTGGCTCACGCCTGTAATCCTAGCACTCTGGGAGGCCGAGGAAGGCGGAGTGTTTGAGCTCAGGAGTTCGAGATTAGCCTCAGCAAGAGCGAGACCCCGTCTCTACCAAAAAATAGAAAGAAATGATCTGGACAACTAAAAAAAAAAAAAAATATATATATATAGAAAAAATTAGCCAGGCATGGTGGCGCATGCCTGTAGTCCCAGCTACTCGGGAGGCTGAGGCAGAAGGATTGCTTGAGCCCAGGAGTTTGAGGTTACTGTGAGCTAGGCTGACGCCACGGCACTCACTCTAGCCAGGGCAACAAAGTGAGCCTCTGTCTCAAAAAAAAAAAAAAAAAAGAAGTCTTTTTAAAGAATATAATGATGACTAAATGTAATAGGCCCATGGAAATGCAAACCAAAACCACAGTAAGATACTACTTCACATCCACTAGAATGACTATCATAACAGAGAGATAGTTAAGCGTTAGCACGTAGAGAAATTGGAACCCTCAGATACTACTACGTAGGGAACTAAAATGGTGTAGCCACTTTGGAAAACATCCTGATAGTTCCTCAAAAGGTTAGACAGAGTTACCATATAACCCAGCAATCCCACTCCTGAGTATATAACCAAGAGAATTAAAAACCAATGTCGACACAAATACTTTTACATACATATTAATATTTACAACATCACTACTCACAATAGCCAAAAAAGGGGAAACAACACTAACGTCCACTAACTGGTAAACAGATAAATAAAACATGGTATATTAATACAATGAAATATTATTTCACAATAAAAAAATGAAGTATTGATACATGCTACAACGTGAATGAACCTTGAAAACATGCTAAGTGAAAGAATACAGTCACGAAGGACCACATTCTGTATGATTCCATTTATATGAAATGTCTAGCATAGAAGCCATAGAGATAGAATACAGACTAGTAGTTGCTTAGGGCTGAGGGAAAAATGGGAGTGACTACTAATGGGTATGAGGTTTCTTTTTTGGGTGATGAAAACGTTCTAAAACAGATGGTGAGGGTTGGACAGCTCTATGAATATACTAGAAACCACTAATTATATACTTTAATGGGTGAATTTTACAGTATGTGAATTATATCTCAATAACGTTGTTACCAAAGTAGACAAGTGTTTTTCCCTGACTTACTTAGATTCCAGTCAGAAATTGTATCGTCATCATCCATTTCATCATCATCATCATCTTCCTCTTCAATTCCATCTTCGTCATGCTGCTGAGCCACCGTCCTTGATCGGTGAAAACGTGGCCTTATATCCTGTTCACTATCAGGAATTGTTTCATCTTCTTCAACATCACCCTGTTTTTTTTTTTAAAGGTAAACTTTGGTGATATTGCAAGCTAATAATATGTATATGAGCAAAAAATCAGACTATCCAGAGATGGGGTCATGCACAGAAGTCTGAAGTATGCTTCCTGAGTGGTTAATAACTACTCTCCTGTGCAGAAAAAAGTTCCTTGCAGAGGGAAGAATAGATTAACATATAACAACTGTGAGGTTATCAGGCCCTTTCAGCTAACTACACTGCCTCCATTGGCTGGTATAATCTAAATGTACCTGAATCATTCAGATCAGCATATTTAAGAAGTAATACTTTTAAATAAACTCCAAGTAATAAAAGGGGAAGTTAATTATAACCTTACTAATGTTGCAATTAGTTTCAATAAATTGCAAGAGTTTAATACCACCCAAATTCGTTATGTTTACTTCTATCTTAGAATCTCTATAGCTTATTATATATAACAGGGAGTCTATTTACATAGGTCTATTCTAAATGTTTTTTCACCAAATTCAAAGATGTACTAAGTCAATAAAAAATCATTTTCCTTATTCATCAGAAAAGTGTCCTTACCTTAAGCAGGATAATATCTATATCTGAGTACTTCATGCCATTCACTAATACAGGAATTAACCTATAAGAAAATAAATTCATGAAAGGAATATCTAAAGAATTAAAAAGTCTTAAAAACCTTAGGTACACTAATAAACTAGTGAGACAACCACTAGTAATACTGTCTTTGAGTATATTCAGTGATTATGTATGTCTCTCCTCATTAAGTGAAGAAACACTAATAAAGAATGCACTGAAATTTAAAATTCCCTGGATAGATTTAAGAAATGTGGCCCAGCAAAACTTCCATGCTCAAAGCCCTTCTAAATTCTAAAATAGAAATATTAATAGTAATTAAACATTGTAGCTACTGGTAGAACTAGGTAAGACTTATAATACACAGAATCATATTTTTTGTAAACTATAGGCATTTTGCAGGAGAACCAGGTCTATCTGGATCATTAACAGTTAAATCACTGATGATCTATCTTTGTCAACAATTTCAGGGGCATGGTGAAGACAGATGTCAAACTGTAAGATAATGAAGAATTAACAAATGGTGGGTTAAAGAATTGAAGACAGTGAGCCCCATCTATTCTTTGAATTTTTTTTTAAGATAGAAACTACAGTTTTCCATAACTGCATAAAAATTATGGAAAAAGAAGCAACAGGGAAAAGCTGAGAGAGAATATTTGATGGGGTGAGGTCCCTGGGAGTAAGAAAAAATTACGTTATCCAGACCTTAAGTAGAAAGATTGGTTAGGAAGAGAACAACTCACATGAAAATACAGCTATAAGTTTTAGGGCAAAATAAAAGGTCACCTGCTTTCTCTATAAAGCAGAACTGTTCAAAGTCAATAGAGAGAACTTCAGATGAGTGAAAAAGGTTTGAAAGAGTGCTCTGGTGAATGGAAGATAAAAGCTGATCTGGAACAAGGATTGGCAGACAGTGTGACGGGTCCACATAAAGTTGAAGACCATGGATTTCTATAGCCAGGAATCCCCTGGGATAGTCTAACTTTCCCTAATAACAGACTGGTTAAAGAAGCAAATCAGAAAATAGCTCAAGTCAGAGCAGAGGAGACCCATGCAGGGTAGATAAAAGTTTATATGGTCAGTACGGTCTATTTGTGGTTATGATGTCTGTCAGATGAAGAACAAATCAAAGAATCTGAGATTTGTCATGGTGTGGCAGATGGGCCTAGTAAGGTTTGCAGGATGTTAAGGGACCGGTCAAGCTGGGCTAATAGAAAACGAGGTCAGAAAGTGAGATAGGGGAGGCTAACCCTGCCCATGTGGCAATCTAGAATGTATCCGACAACCAAGTCCAATCACGCAACGCAGATCATTATTTTTGAGTTTTAACTATTAAGGTTTCTCCTGAAGCCTCATGTAGCCATTAAAAACAAAAGTTTTTAATGCAACATCACAAGAAAGTATTAATATTAACAATAAATGATTACTGAGTACTTTAATATGTGGTAGACACTTAAGTTGTTTTACGTGGATAATCCACACAACAGTCCTACAAGATATTAATGCACAAGAATAAAGGCAAGAAAAAGCCAAAAGTTTGGGGAAAAAAAAAAGAGAAATGAACTGTTCCATCAGAAAATAAAATACATTAAATGCTCAATAATCAAAATAGTACTAGTTAAAAAAAATAGAACAGATTATGTAGCCTAGAAACAAACAATAGAACTTTCCATCCTTGCTGCATCAGTACTTTCTAAATGAGCTCACATTAATGAGAGATCTCATAACACTCATAATTCTTTTTTTTTTTTTTTTGAGACAGAGTCTCACTCTGTTGCCTGGGCTAGAGTGCCATGGCGTCAGCAACCTCAAACCTTCACAGCAACCTCAAACTCCTGGGCTCAGGCGATCCTCCTGCCTCAGCCTCCTAGGTAGCTGGGACTACAGGCATGCGCCACCATGCCCGGGTAATTTTTTCTATGTATTTTTAGTTGTCCAGCTAATTTCTATTTTTTAGTAGAGACGGGGTCTCGCTCTTGCTCAGGCTGGTCTCAAACTCCTGAGCTCAAACGATCCACCCACCTCGGTCTCCCAGAGTGCTAGGATTACAGGCGTGAGCCACCGCGCCCGGCCAGCACTCATAATTCTTAAGCAAACATTTTCACTTATATTAAGCAAGAGTAGTCTGGTTAAGTGAACCAGAAAAAATTTCTTTTACTGTGCTTTTTATCTCAGCATCAGATTGATGTTGATATTCTCCCATTATTTCAATGTATTATCTAAAAAACAAAGGCAAGCTTGTTTTATATATAAAACTGCCTCCCAAGTAGTGGTAGGGAAGACATAAATTAAACCAAGTGAATGGCTTGAGTTGCTTAATGTTTGCACTAATGGAAAACCTAACTAGCACGGCAAAATGGGAGGTGCTGACCTTTTAGCCTGCTATTGAATTCCTGCTAATTTTAAGAATTTTGGATTGTTATTAGTGTAATGATGGAGTTAGAGTACCTAGTTATAATTTCATATTCAATGATAACTATCTCTTAATGTTATAACCTAGGTTTTCATTAATAGATCTTTGCAGTTTTTATAAAAATCTATAAAAAATTGTTTATTATTTTTAGAATTTTATGACCCTATAGCAAACATATTACAAAAGTAGCATTATAAATTAGAAAGAAAAGGAAAATAAATACAAGAATTTCCTAAAGCGGGAAAAAAAATCCGCTCAGTGTATCATGCCTTGCACCCTTGCCCCCAAATAAATTCTAGACTAGATGAAAATATAGGTAGAATTTGTTTTGACAGAGAAAGAAAAAGGACTTAATTACTATATGAAAATGAGAACATCCAACTACCATAATCATCTGAAAAAAACTGAACTCCACTAATACCAAAACATTAACACCGGAGTTTTTGCATTTTGATTATCCAGATGGCAAAAATTAAAAAATTGTTGGTCGGTAAAAATAGTGACAGAATGGACACTGCTAGTAGGGTACAGACTGGTATAAATTTCCTAGAGAAGAATTTGGAATATTTATGAAGAAACTTTAAAATGCTCATAGACTTCGACCTTTGGGGGAATGGTAATCACTCCCAGTAATTCTAACAATCAATCATTTATGGACAATAAGAGATGTTCACTCCAGGATTATTTGATTTAAAAAAAAGCCAAGCAACCTAAATATTCAACAGTACACTCTCTCTATATACAGTGTAAACATATGTAATTGTCAATTTTATATAATATATGGTGTGCGCACCATGATAGAACAGTACACTGCCACTAAAGTTTTAAAGACTAATGACATGGAGGAAAGCACATAGCACACAACTGAAAAGAGCAAACTATAAAATAGTATAATTAAATTCTTTCGCACTAACTGTAAGCGAGATGCCACGTTAAGTGCATCATATATCATCAAATCTAATTCTTCCCTGACATCCCGAATATATTCAGTATATGGTACCTACACAAAAAAATATGAAAAGATGACATTAAAAATACTAATGGTGATTACTCAGGGTAGTGAAAATCCAGGAAATTTATAATTTTCTGAAATTTAATCTCCTTCCATGAGCCTGTATTACTTTACTTTCAGAGAATAGCATTACTTTTTAAAAGTAACTGATTTAATAGCATTCTCTGGGTTAAAAATAGGCTTACTGAGAAATTATTTTTGAGAAAAAAGAAAATCCCCCATCACAGAGTCTGCAGTCAAAGAACAAGGATTGTTAAAAAAAAAAAAAAAAAAAAGAAGTCTTTTTAAAGAATATAATGATGACTAAATGTAATAGGCCCATGGAAATGCAAACCAAAACCACAGTAAGA